CCTTGCACCTTGACTTTCTCTCTTAAGAGTTGTGAGGCATCTGCTGGGACAAGGCCTCCTGGGTCAGCAGCAGGGCCCCCCAGGGGGGCCGCTGGGTCACCTGCCAGGCCTGAGAGAGCCCTTGGACCTTCACCCCACCACATGGCCTTTGACCTGCTCACTCGCAGGGGGTGGGCATGTGCAGAACCAGGCCCCTGGGGTCTCAGGTTGGCCCAGACTTCATTTCACCTGAAGTCACAGGGACAGACGAAGGAGCAGGAGACATCGTGTTGATGAGAACTGACTCCTCAGGGAAACACATAGGCCCTTTCCCGCTTCTCTCTCCTCGCCCCTGGTTCAAGGCCCTCACCCCGAGGTGGCTGGCACTTCCTTTCCTTTCTGCACCATGGGGAGGGCTGGAACTCAGGGCTTGTGGGTGTCTCTCTGGGGCCCACAACCACCTGTCCAGCTGTCCGTCTGCCCCAGGGCTTGGGGCTCAAAGGGGCAGGGGTCTGGGGTGATGGAAGGAGGGAGGCCTGGGCATGTGCGCTGTGGGCCATTAGAAGGCTGAGTTATGGTAGAATGTGCTGGAGGCGGGAAGACGGCTGGCAGGAGGTATTTATAGGAGCACATCGCTGCTGGGTGACCTGGCCGGGCCACATCGATCGTCTCCCAGAGCCCTCCTGCATCAGCGTTTCTCTGGAGCGGCGTGCTGTCTGCAGGGCTCCGAGCCATCCAGGTAGCTGCTCCGAAGCCAGACTCATGTTCCTCCGCAGGCTCCCCCATCCCACCTTCCTCCCTTCTCTCAGGATGACGAATCCGGCAGAAAACATAAAAAATTTTCTCTTGAAACACAAATACCAGCACCAAGCTTGGAGGAGGGGATCGGACAGAACCAGGAGTAACTCAGGGCCCGGCCAGGAGCCTCAGTTTCTCTCTCCTCCCTCCCAGTCCCCCGCCTACTGTCTGTTTTGTATGAAAAATACCTGGTGTGTCCGTCCACCCGAGCAATCCACGGGCCGAGCCGGAAAGGGCGTGAAACCTTCAGCCCTCTCGTCGTCAGCAAGAGGCTGCTGCTGAGCAAAACTAGGTCAAAGTCTCCCTTCGACAGCCAGGGCCTCCGCTTCTCGGAGGCGATTATTTGCGATTATTTGTGAGGTGATGAGCGAAGCACTGTGTCGAAAGGACCTCTCCCCCTCCCCAGGCTGATGTGAGCGAGAGGCAGCTTTGCCTAGCGGGGGATGGGGCCAGGTTGCTGGGTTCAGATCCCAGCCCCCCCACTTTCTATGGCCGAACCACCAACCCGCTCGTCCGTTAGGTGGAGGTGATGACACAGTTGAGATGACTGTGTGCTCACTACACGCCAGCCGGGCTGCAGCCCCCGCTTTAAGCTGTTTGCCCACATCGGGCCATTTAATCCCTCATTCCCCTTGGAAGATGGCACTAGTATTTTCCTCACTGCAATAATAGCGCCTACCACCAAGGGTTGTTTCGGGGATTAAGTGAATTAATATGTGTAAAATCGCTTAGAACCGTTTCTGGCACGGAGTCCTGACCCAATAAACGTCAGCCGGCAGGAGCCGGGGAGCCGGGGGACTCAGAGGAGCAGCAGACCCCGAGTCAGGGTCCCAAGGAAAGGACAGGCCCTGAGCCCAGCTCTCTCCCCGGAGGCTTCTGCGGCCTGGACCTGATAGATGGCCAGTGTCACCGAAATCAGATCAAGCCTGACCGCTTTTCCTGTCTACACGCATTAAGACACAGGGTAGGAGGCGGGTTTTCGTTTCCCCCGCCTGGGCGCCGCGGGGGCAGCGGGGCTCCGGGCACCGCCACTGCGGCGGTGGGAGCGAGAGGAGGCAGCGGGGAGTGGGCTTAATTGCCAGCTATTAAGACTTGTCACTGAGCGATGTCGTGCGCAGCCCCGGGGGCGGTTGTGTTTGAGTGGGACCGAAAGGAAAGAGGGCGTGTGCGACTCTGCCTTTGCTAAAAGGGACTTGGGTTTCTGCAAATGCTACAAATAAAAACCCGTATCTGCTGGGATGGGAGGGATGGCACTGAGCGGGCCGCTGCCCTCGTTGTGGGGTGGTGGGCCTCCCAGGACAGCTGCGATTGCATCTCTGCTGCTGCCGGGGTCCCCGACGTGCCCACAGCTGGGGGGTGACTTAGCGGGGCAGAGGGGGGTGAGCCTGTGTTGTTCGTGGCTGATGGCAGGGCGGGGATTGATGGGCACAGGTCAGAAGGACAGAAGCCCCAAGGTACAGACACATTTGCTCAAACTCAGAGATTTATGGAATGGTCTTATGGCTCATTGTTCATTTATATTTTACACCATATATCCCCTTTGTTAAGAATGATTTTTGACGTCAACTTCCCACCTCTGTGCTGTTAAAGAGAGGAGGCAGAATTTTTTTGATTAAATGGAAGAGGGGCCTGGTCTCCATGGCTGCAAGGGGCAGGGGGTGGGGTGGGAGGAGAGTGCACAGAGCCTGGGCTCAGGGGTCGCACCCACCTAGGGTTGAATCTCATCTCTGTCACTGTGAGCTGGGTGACCATCCTCGGGCTCCTCTATGTAAAAAAATAATCATAATGTGACTTGGCCAGGTAGGCGTCGGAACGAGAGTGTGGATGCTCAGTAGATAAACTGGCCCAATAAGTGGCAACTGTCATCACCCTTCCCGTCATTGTGGTCCCTGTTTGTCCTGTTCTAAAGCTCCTGTCCTGTGGGCCTTCAATGCATGTTTGTGCCCAGCGTGCAGTGGTCCTGCGGGCCCATGAAATAAAACCACAGTCTCCGTTACCTGCAGATCTCCTGAGTGGGCAGTTTAGCTCCTCAAATGAGAAAAACCTAAAATCTCTCCAAGCCAAAGCCTTTGTTGATATGGAGGTGAGAGAGGAGACAGGAAGATTGAGATTTTGTGGGGGGCAGAGGGGATGAAGATTCTGCAGGAACCAACCACCATGATGAGAGGGAGCTTGGAGAGCTGGATAATGATGAGAAAGTCTGGGCCATTTTGTTCCTTTTCAAGGACAAAAATCACAAAATTACCCTATTACATCTGTGCTGTTCACTGCTCTGGGTGTCAGGTGTGTTAGTTTTTTATTGCAGCATTTACTGAGCTGGCACGCGGTAGCCCAGCCTTATCCAATGACACTTCCATAAACCCTCACAATTACCCTTATGAAGCGATCCCTGTTTTTCAGATGAAGAAACTGAAGTTCAGAGTGGTCATGTGATTTGCCCAGGATGTTAAATGAAAGAGCCGGCATTCTAATTCAGATCTGCCTGATCCCAAAGCCCGTATGCCATTCACTTCCCCACATAGCTGTAAATTCCAGGGATTAAACTATGACCCTCACACCCTCCATCACTAAGTTACATTCTCTGCAATCACACCTGGGATTTATATCATACTTGGGCAGTTAAAAGAAGATGCTAATAAATGAGTAATACAGTTATTTTGGTAACTTCTGTATAACAAGATACCTTAAAACATAATGATATAAAACAACAACTAATATCTTTTGCTGATGATTTTGTGGGTCAGGAATTTGGGAAGTGCTCAGCTAGGGAGTTCTTGCTGGGGTTTCTCATGCAAGTGCAGTCAGACGTTGGCTGGGGCTGCTGTCATCTGAAGGCTCAACTGGGCTGGATGTCCAGGGTGGCTCGATCCCATGGCTGGCAGCTGATTCTGGCTGTGGGCTGGTAGCTCAGCTGGGCTGTGAGCCAGAGCACCTGTGCATGGCCTCCAGAGCAGTGTTGACAACCAGAGGGACATTTTCATTTATTACAGCCGGGGTGCTACCAGCATTTGATGGACATGGAAAGAGGCAAGGATGCTGCTGAACATCCTATAATGCACAGGACACCCCCACAACAAAGAATCACCCAGCCCCAAATGTCAACAGGGCCGAGTTTGAGAACTCTGCTCTAAGGCATAGTGATCTCAGGGGGGTCAGACTTCTTATATGGGGCCTGGCTTCCCCCTGAGAGAGCTCCCAAGAGAACCAGGCAGAAACTGCATCTCCTTTTATGACCCAGCCTCAGAAGTCAGGTGGCATCATTCCAGTGTACGCTACTGGTCGAAGCAGTCACAGACCTGCCTAGACTCAAGGGAAGGAGGCATGTGTGGACCTCACCTCTCAATGGGAGGAGTTTCAAGGAATTTGTGGTCACTTTCCAACCACCACAGAATGTCATGGCCTTCAGCACGGTACTAGGGTTTGTCTGGGATGGTACAAAACTGAGACCAGGACTCTGCATTGGTCCATCCTTCCACTCTCTCCTTCTCTCCAGTTAAACTACTGTCCAGTCCTCTAACTGGGCTCCCACTCACACCTGGACCCCCACCCGTCTCTGAGCACCTAAGCACCTCATTGCAAGTCCTTTTATTATTGGCTTGGGCAGGGAAATGTGCCATTCGTGATTTAATTCTCCACAAGACATTTCTCCATAATGCTAGTCGTGGATGATAATTAGCAACCGTTAATCCCTGATAATTAACAAGCTAATACTTAGAGATAATGGCAGCCAGGTAATCACCCTAAAAGACTCAAAGCTGCCTTGTTTCTGCTTCTGGGCCCCAAGCCCCAAAGGATAACACTGCATTTCAGCATCTCTAGCCCAGGAGTTCACTGGGACCCCGAACACGAAGGCAGCGATTGGAGAACCGACGACTCTAGTCTTTACTTTAATTCTCTTCTCTGGATATAGAAATAATACATTTTTTCAGAAGCTTTGCCGAGCGTAGGAAAGTAATAAAGAAAATCAAATATACATAACCTTATTACCTGGAAGCATCCACAGTCCACGTTTTGGTTTCTTTCTTCCCAGCCTGTGAATTTTTTTCATAGTTGAATTCTTGTTAGACATGTGGGTTTACATCCAGCTTTGTTCACTTAATATTATTGTGTAAACATCTACCCTGGTGGTAGCAACTTATAAAAAGTGTCTGCCTTCCCCATCAGGAAAATCAAATGAGCCTTGGAGATGGAGAATGGGATTCATGGGAAGGAGAAGCAATTGTGTCAAAGCAAAGACTTGGATAAAAGCCTGGTTATGTGGGAACTAGGAACTGATCCCAGACCGGTGTCTTCAAGGGGACCCCCACCCCTGCTCCCAACAGAAGACGTTGGGTGCCTGCGTGTGCGGTCACATCGGAAGAAAGGCAGGCAATGAACTAAGATGCAAATAATGCTGTTTTCGGAATGGGACAGCACAGGCAATTTTCATCGGCTGCCTTATGATTTGCCATGCAGCACGGGGAAAAGGCATGGATCAGCATTCCAAAAATTACCAGTTCACACATTTGTCCCTCCATAGGCAAGGTACGTCTCCCCTTTGGACCTTGATTTTCTTATTTGTGGTTTGGGAGAAATATTAGTCTGCCCACCAGAAAGGTGGGTTTTGGAATCAGAAATGCTAAGACCACATCAGAAGATATGCCCGGCGACTGCCCAGAGGAAGCCCAGGTTCAAGAAACAGCCCTTAGGTGACACTTAGCCATTTACAAAGGCAGTCTTCCAAATATTGTGTCACATACATTTCTAGATTCCCTAGTGACCCACCCGGAACTGTTTGCACTTCAGTGGGGGCGATGGTGTAGCCAGAGCACAGGCTGGGATTAGACCTGGGCTTCAGTCCACAGCCTGTCACCCACCTATGATGTCCTGTAGGCTACTTAACATCTCTGAGCCTCAATTTTCCAGTCCACAAAATGGGGCTAATACCACCTGCCTGCAGGGTTGTTGTGAGGTCCTGATGATATTATTTATGTGTAAATAATTATGATTTCATAACAGAGGCATAACTACACTGTGTAAAGAATAAGAATGTTATTTTGTGCTCTGTGCAGAGTCCCTAAATTTGCCACATACTCTGGAAGGGGACTTTTCCCTTTTCCCAAGCTCACGCCAGGCTTCAAGCTCTGCTGTTACAGAGTTTGGCGGATCGGGTCAGCTTCTGCCTCTTCTTTTATTTCTTGTATTTATAGATTCAGATGCAATCTCCTCTCCACTTTCATCTTTCCAAGCCTCCAAGACCCAGATCTTTCTTTGTCTCGCCGCCAAGCTTATCATTAAAATTGCTGTCCAGCTCCGGCCAGGCGCTGTCCGTCATATTCCAGAACCCCTGACCCGCCCGCCTTCCGGGGACAGCTCTGTGCCCACCGGTGCTTAGTAGCAGATCCCTCCACTGCATCGTGCTTTAGATTTTCCAAAGCCCTGCCGGTGCTTAATAATTCCCTCCACTGCACCGTGCTCTTTAGATTGTCCAAAGCCCTGTCGTGGCTGCTGTGACGTTTAATCTCCCAGCAGGTTCGTGGGGCGGGTAGGGCAGGCCTGTTCTCCTTGGGGGACAGCCTCGTTCCCAAAGTGGATCTCACAGGACCAGACGCCATTGTGTGACCAGAGAAGTTTGGAAAACACTGGAATGAGTGACGCTAAACACACTTTCCGAGGCTCTGACATATGAATGTGCGGTGGGATTCTTCCAGGCGTAGAGGCGGCGCTTTCCCAAGCCTTTTCCCACCAGAGTCCTTTTTGCTAGAATATTCCAAGGAACTTTTTGCTCTGTGGAACCTGCTTTGGAAAACACTCAGAGGGGTGGCACGAGAAGAGTCTTGAGAGGGAGGCAGGGTGAGGTTCGAATGCAGGCACCGCCCAGGCATTGGGACTATTAAGCACTCCCTGGGTGCTTCTAGATTGCAGCCAGTGCTCAGAGCCCTGAGCTGGGCCATGGGCTCCGTGGGGTCAGCACCCACCTGCCTTGTTCCTCAGGTTTGCCCAGCTCCGAGCCCAGTGCCGGGCCCTGGCAGGCATCAGCAGGCATGCTCCTGGCTCACCTTGGAAAGATTCTTAGCTTCTCTCTGGCTGGGTCAGAGCTGGTTCCTGCCAACACTGTGTGCTGAGCAGTCAAGAGTCAGAACGTTTCTAATCAGGTGGGTTAGGAGGCCCGTTGAGCTTGGACTGTGTGGTGTGGCTTCTTTACTTCCATTGACCTAGAACTACAACTGCTTGTAGTCCATGAGGAAGAGACCTTCCCAAGAGGCCACCTCTGCCCTCTGCCTCTTCCTAAGGCTGCTGCCACTTTTCCTTCTGGATGCTGCAGCTCCTGCCAGGGTGCATGTGACCCTCGGAGTCCTTCTCAACACCGAGGCCACCCAGCAGAGCTCACTCCTCCATCCCTCCTCCCTGCTCCTGGGCTCTGGGGCAGATCTCTACCATAGCCCCCACCCAGCTCCATTCTACCTGCTTTGTGGGGGCCTTTGTTCTTCTAGACGGGACATCTTCAAGGTCAAGGGTAGTGTCATGTTCAATGTTTGTCTTTTTATATCCCATGTTGGGCACCATGGATTACTACTGGAAGGATGGATGGATGGAAGGATGGTTGGATGGATGGATGGATGGATGGATAGCATTATCCAGCAAGGGGGACTCCCACAGAGGACAAGGTGGCCCCTTGCAGTAGCCTGGCCAGAAAGCTGTGAATTCCTGGCAGGGAGAGGAAGAGGGTGGCAACTCTGTCCCTCTGGCCTGGCTTCCGGAGAGCTGACCTGTTGGTCTTTACTCATCAGTTTAGCCAGGTGGGGTTCACTTTAGTTACCTCCTCAAAACCCCTCATCTTGGCCTCCTCGGAGCCATGGCTGCCACTGCCTGCTCGCCCTCTCTCCTGTCCCCAGAGCCCACTCCCTGCCGGTGGGACCACGGCTGCAGGCCGCCCACGTGACCGTCGGGAAGATGAGCGCCTGCGGGAGGAAGGCGCTGACCCTGCTGAGCAGCGTCTTTGCCGTCTGCGGCCTGGGCCTCCTGGGCATCGCCGTCAGCACCGACTACTGGCTGTACCTGGAGGAGGGCGTGATCCTGCCCCAGAACCAGAGCACGGAGATCAAGATGTCCCTGCACTCGGGCCTATGGCGTGTGTGCTTCCTCGCTGGTAAGGGCCACCAGGGTTGCAGACAGCCTTGCCCCGGAGAGAGGAGCAGCCCCTGGTGCCCACCAGTATTTATCAGGGAGGACACCCCCAGGCCCAGCCTACTGGTGTCGTGTGTCTGCTTTGGGAATGGCATCCATTACTGACCTCACCTCTCTGCTTAAATCTGAAGCAGAGTTTGAAGTCACCAGGGTCTGGCTTCGAAGTGGTTAACAGGGCTTTGGGGCTCTGCTCCCTGATGCCCACAGTGGGGAATCTAAGCCAGCTGTGCACTGAGCCTGTCCCGAAGCAACAAGCAGATGTTTCACCCAGCTTGAGTTTGCAGTCTGGCCACTTTCAGGCAACTCTTGGTGCTCGAGTTGTCTCCACAGTGGTGCTTCTTCAGGAAGAACATGATGTCAGGATGTGCCCCACTCCTGCTGTGGGCCACCAGCCAGGGCCAGGACACCCTAGAGTCTGGAGCTAGTCCAGACGCAAATACACCCTGGGTCGAAGATCCTAGAAGCATTTGGAAGCACCAAATCCACCTTCCAGAAGGGCCTGGAAAGGTAAACAATTCTTGTCTTCACAGGTGAGGAGCGTGGACGCTGCTTCACCATAGAGTATGTGATGCCCATGAACACCCAGCTGACGTCCGAGTCCACGGTCAACGTTCTGAGTAGGTGCCTCGGACTTTCCAACCTGGGCCCCTGGCCAGACAGAGTGGAGCAGGGCAGAGGGAAGAGTCGGGTGACCAGCCTGTTTCTCAGGAGCTAATGTCCTTAGACTCAGCTGGTTGTGCTAGTCTGAGCTCACCAGAACTTGCTCTGTCAATTATCTACCCGGGGGTGGTGACAGGTTGCTGGATTGTCCCAATCTTGTGACCCAGGCAAGTGAGAGGGCATCCATGCTCAGCATCTTTGTCTGGGCTGCTATAACAAAATACCACAGACCGGGTAGCTTGTAGACATCAGGGATGTATTTCTCTCAGTTCTGGAGACTAGGAGTCCATGGTCAAGGCTCTAGCATGGTCACGTTCTGGTGAGGGCCCTCTTCTGATTCATAGCAGGTGCCCTCTGGCTGTGTCCTCATACAGTGGGAGTGGGGAGGGAGCTCTGTGAGGCCTCATTCTATAAGGGCACTAATCCCATGCATGGGGGCCCCACCCTCATGACTTAAGCACCCCCCCCAAAGGCCCCACCTCCTGATACCATTACATTGGGCATTAGGTTCCAACATATGAATTTGTGAGGGGGACAAACATTCAGGCCGTAGTACTCAGAGGACTGAATCAAGCCCTCTGGCCCCCAACGAGACTGACTCCATGGCCTTGGCCTCACCAGAGCTGGTTCTGACACCTAGAGTGAACTTGGAATACAATTCCGACACTGATCCCCCCTGACTTAGCCCAGACCCCACAGGCTAAGGGCCAAGGGACAAAGCCCTGGCAGCACTGGGAGGTCCCAGGCCACCCAAGGAGGGGTGGAGCCCGGGGAGCTCATGCAGGGTGCAGCTCTGGGGACCAGCTGGCAGACACTGCCAGGAACACTCGGCTCAGGGGAGAGTAAGCAGCGAGTAAGGCCACTGGAGGTTGGCAGCATCCTTTTGTCCCTCAAATCAGAAATGATCCGCTCGGCCACGCCATTCCCGCTGGTCAGTCTCTTCTTCATGTTCATTGGGTTTATCCTGAGCAACATCGGACACATCCGTCCCCACAGGACCATACTGGCCTTTGTCTCCGGCATCTTCTTCATCCTTTCAGGTGAGCATGTTGTCGTGCGTCTGGATTTTTAACTCCTAGACACCCCTGCTCTGGGAAGCCCTGCTCATGGCTGTGGGTCAGCCCCCAGCACCCGACCAGCTGAGTCAGTGACCTGGGCAGAGTCAGAAGGAGACTTCTGACGACCTTGAGCCCCTCTGTGACTTCTGGAGGAGGAGTGACCTGACAGGCTCAGCCAGGGGCTGGCTGGGATTAGAGCCCAGGGGTCTCCACTGCACCGTCCCCGCCATGTACTTTCTAGTTCCCACTGGCAGTGGGTATTCCTGGCTTCGAAGGGCTGTGTCTTCATCTACCCTTCTATCCATCTACCCAACACCTATTCATTGACACCTGCAATGTCCTCGGCCCCCCCTCTGCGTGGTGATATTTCCACCAAGTCCAAGCGGTGGCGACCCAGGGTGAAGCTCTTTATCTTTCTGTGAACCTGACAGTGGTCACGGCTGCCCAGTAGCTTTGAGGCACCTGAGATTTTCCCGCAGCAGGCTACAGGATCGGGAAGCTCAGACTGAACGGGGCCGCAGGAAGTTATTTTAATGATGGCAATAGACAGGGTCCACTGGAGCCCCGTGATGCAAACCTGAGTTAAGCGCCAAGGAAGTCTTAAATCACTGATTTTCCCTGAACATTCACCCTTCAAGCCGCCCTAGTTTAATCACGGAAATGGAATTAAACCTGAACAGCTGAAAACACAGTAATTAGTTATGTCCCGATTCAGTTACAGTTACTAATCGACGGGGCCAGTGCCTGCGGCCGTCACTTGCACAGTGGCAGCAGGCACTTGGGCTCCAGTGCCCCCACTGATGTAATGGTTGCCAGAATCTACACAAACTCTCCTTACCTCGCTGCCTGGCCATCTCAGGAGGCCACACCCGGTGGTCGGGTGGGCTGCACAGGCCGCGAGCCACAGTGATGTTACCGCCCACCGCTGGAGCCTGCGATAGGAGGCCTGGCTGCCTCCGTGACGGGGAGTCTGTCTTACTCCCCAGTTTAGCAAAAGCCACCTGCTAGCTCAGTGGTTCTCACCCATCGTTCACATTAGTGTCACCTGGGGAGCCGTTTAGACGGTACTAGCCCATAGGTGACGCTGAGTGTCCGGGGATGGGGTCAGGTACCTATGCCTGACAGATGATCCTAGAGGGCAGGTGGGGTGGGAACCATCGGGCTTACCACGGCTCAGGAGGCGGCTGGACAGGCAGCTTTCTTACCTGCGACTGTCCGCCTTCCAAAAGGTAATGTTCTAAACAGGGTCTTCGGGAGGAGAGCCCCTGTCCCCTTTGAACTCCAAATGAGTGCATTGTCGCCACAAGGCCCATGGCTTTCTTCTGAACCCCAGGGGGAGGTGGGTGCCCCCTCAGCAACCCC